TCGGTGAATCATTCGATGGTCATCGAAATTTCAATGAACGTTCACAAAATTTTCACAGAGATTCGAACAATTTCGATGGCGCATTTCGGATAGACACCGATCACCGTTTAACATCTGTTTTTACAAAGGCGCACAGCAGTTGCACCTCGCAGTTGGCATGAGGCCACGCATGATTGTCTAGATGTGTAATGATCATAATTGAATCATGGAATTTTTGTGCATGTTAACGCCATGTTTCTCAGCCTATTCTATCTCTGTTTTCCCCTTTCTATCTCTATATTCTCCTTGTTCTTCTTGTTTTGTTTCGAGGACCAATCGACGAGGTATTGGCAAAAGGATTCCATTTCTGAGTTAATGGAAAGGTCGAACGGTCGGGAGAGGATAAAGATATCGCTTTGGTTGATTTAGACACGAGATCCATAATCTCGAGAAACGGATCGAGATCTGGAATCGAGGAAGGGCGTGCACAGGAAACGTCCTATTAGTTCTGAAACCGTAACATCTGTCCCTTTCTTCAGCCAGGAACCAATTAAGAAACATCAACCTAGGATAGACAGGTGCACTTAGATAAGATCGTGGGTCTCGTGGTTTGTCTTGTAATTTCTCGAATTAAAACGATTACCTTATAAAAAGATATTCATCTCGAGAAGACAAGAATATAGACGAAAAAGATATAGATGTGTTGATTAAGATTTTCTAGTATTCGTAGCATTGAAGAAATGTCGAGTAATGATGAAAACGATTTCATCTCGTTTAATTCAATATATATTGTGATATTTGAGGTAAACCATCGGTTGTTAAACCGACGAAAACAATAATTGCAATTGTATCTGAGCAACGACAGGTGTAGCTGTCCTTTCGACCATAATGACGTCATGAATAAAACGTAGCATCCTTGATGCACAGCAATAATGAGTGACTGTAGTGTTATCCATGCCTTTCGACCGCTTTTGGCTTTGAATAAATTAAGAGGAGAACACTGTGGACACAGGTGTACGTATGAAACTCGTGACGAATCACAAATAACGTTGAATTATATAAAAGATCGTATCGTGCACATTTTCATTAATATTCCAAGATAAAAATCATAATTACCTTAATGGCTTCGATTCAGTTACCGAGAGAAATTGAACTGACCAGGGAAACGAAGTGTTTAATTAAGAAAATTATTGGAGCATTAATAAAATCGGATGAGAACGAGAGAAAAAATAATAACGAATGGTATATACTTGATGTAAAACTGACCTTTTCATGAAATTCCACTGAAAATATTCCTTCTTTCTCTCTCTCTCTCTCT